ATGAAGTGAAAATCTATGTTCATTTTCACTTCACTGAGCTCTGCTGGGGAAACTAGCTTGGAAATATGGAAACAAATCGAAGTTACATATTGTTTTATTACCAAATTTCCTAAATGTATAAAGCAACTTCATTACATTTTCAAATTTCTGAAATCTAAGTCCGTATTATATCTGATGGAGTCTACCAATGAATATAGCGTCTTCTTCATAATAACCTATTAATAAACGAATCTTGCAATCCATAGCTTCTTACAATTAATGAAATACCGTATATTATCCTTTTCATACTTCAATGGCATTTGCGATTATTTATTACAGATATAAATCTACTGCTGATAAAAAATTGTTACCGCAGATACTACATTCCCTGTTACTATTCATTGTACTGCTTTAAATATTACGTCCATACCATTTTCATTTTACTGTATCAGTCTACCACTGCTTACTGCGTTACCTAGGCAGCTGAAAGGGTCTTTAAATAAACCAATACACAATAAATCAACAAGTAAAGCACCATCAACATATTGCATTCCGGGGCCCTGCACCGTAAAAATTATGACCGAGGGCAGGTGAAACAAGGGAGGCCATGCACAGAGGGTTGCCTACAGCTAAGCCCACACCGACCGCATGAGTAACGAAGACAGGAACTGGAGATCAATAGAGCTCGCCTTGGCAGAATGCAGAACTTGAAATATTAACGGTAATTTGACTTCAATTAACGTTTCCTGCTGCTCATTGCCCGGTATCAAAGGAGATATAAATTTTAGTTTCAAAATGTTGGTCGCCACGTACTATCGTACCCAACAGTGTAATTTTCGGTATTAGCCCTGTTTACTAATTCCCAGACCATTAATACTTGACACGATGAAACGTCTACCTACAATCGCGCACAGAACGAGTTCGTTTTCAAATGCTGTTCTCGTGTTTCTGCTTCCACAAGGGCCCTGAAAGGTAACCGGACGTCAAATGTAAAGAAACACAAATATCACAGAAACTAAGATTTATACACGTTTGAAGCCGAGTTTATCTTCAAAATCTTTCTAACATCATGTTTAATAATATATTTACAAAGATGAATTTGATGAAGGATGAGAGGTGTGGCAAGTTCACACACATCTCTGAAGTGAAGACAGAACTTGGAAGACCTAAATGTAAATGTGATTATAACATTATACGATGTGTGTATGTGAACTGGATTCAACTGGCTCCGGAGAGGGTCCATGGCTGTTTCTTGTGAACAGGTTAATGAACCTGCGGGTTCTGTTTTAAGCAATTAAGCTATCCATCGTCTAGTAAATATAAAACGTAAAACGACGTTTCGGAGATGGGGCTCTATCTCCGTCTTCAGGTTCCTACTCAGTTGGGCCCACTAGATAGAGCTAATCCCTATCTCGTTTTATTACTAGACGATGGATAATATCCAAGTAAATTTTTATTCAATTGACTCTTCACCATCGTCAAAAAGTTTTAAATTAAGCACAAAATTTATTAACCAGCTGAATGACTATCAGCTTCTCATGATTATCGGCTCTCATCCAGAAACATATTATTGAACTAGTGTGGAAGAGATAGGTAGGTAGATAGATTTGTAAATTCTGCAAAACTGAACCCACGTAATGGATATAATATTTATGGAACAGCGATTTCCACTTACTCTCAGCCGAAGAGTTTGATATTGTTTTCTTGTTTTAATGACAGACATTTCGCACACTAAGAATATCACAGAAGCTAATTATTTTATGTGACAGAGAATGAAAGATGCGAAAATATTCAGTTTACGGCTGGAACCTGAGCACCTTATTGCAGAACATTTAAAATGCATTAAAGTTTGCTTTCAAATAGAATACGTTTCTGCGCAAAGCTTGAGATCATAAGATTATGACCGTCTGCCGTCCGAATGTTTCATCTCAAAACCTACTGAACTATCTTCGGTTAAATTATGTATTAAATGTAGGCTGTACATTAACAGGGTTATGGCGTAATTAATTGAGGTTATAAACATTTAACAAATTATGATCCGCACTGTAATGGAATTCAAAACAAAGTCCATCGCCTTTCTCAAGGGCGAAATCAGTACACATAACAACAAATAAATCTGATTCATATTACAGAGTTTATTTAATACATTTTGGGTGTAGCAAATATTTAACGAAATGGAAGTAAAAATAACTTCCCACTGTGTAGTGTTATATCAGTAGCGTGATTAACTCTGCAAGAAAATGATTTGTATCTGCAATAAATTAACACCCGAGCCAGTGAGGTACGCAGACTCAAAAAATGGTTTTTAAAATATGAGAACTCCTTCTCCGGCTTGTCTGTCTCCGGGAAACTGAGTCTTATCGTTACTGGAAGCGGATGTTCGCTCGTCTCTTGTTTCCGTACCAACTCTTTGATTTCTCTCACTACGAGCATCTACATAGCTGCTATTTTGAAATGCCAAGTTATTACATTGATATAAACTGGCTGTTACTTGTTGAAGTCATCCTTATTTCTAGTATCACTGAATAACATCAATAAATCTGTCTTTACGAACATAATTTAAAGAGACAAAAACGTAAGTTATCTTCTAAGTACCATATAATAAAATTATAAAAATTTAAATTACATCGTTTTCTTATTTATTTACTCCCAAATAGGATGGCTAAACAACTGCAAAATGAGGAGCTTTACAATTTGTATGTTCACCAAATATTATTATTTTATTTTATTTAGTGTTCTGTCTGACGACAGGTCCATACGAACAGGATCCTTCCATCCTTTTCTCGGACTGGGACCTGTTCATATACGTTCTTGGCAGATGATCCAGAAGTGGTTTGCCATTGCCTTCTTCTGTGTGTGAATGGAGTAATTGTTGGGATGCCACGGAGAAACCGGGGAAGCCCCCGGAGGAAAACTCCGTGTTGCCTAGACCACGGCCTTGCCCAACACAAGTTATAAATTCGGGCACAGCCGGGAATCGAACCCGAGGCCCCAGGATTACAAGGCCAGCGTTCAAACCGCTAGACCACCGTGGCTTCAAATATTATTACGGAGATAAAATCAAGGATTGATAGGACGTGATATGTAGCATGTAGAGGAGAAAAATACATCAAATTTAGTCGGAACATTTGAAGGGAAGAGACACTTGTAGAACATAAGCATAGATGAGGAAATAATATTAAAGTTGTTCTTAAATGGGATGTAAGAGTGTTATTTATGGAACAAATGTCCCTCGCCCGAAGGAATAAAGTCCTAGTGACAATAGGACGATAATATTAAAGTGAATTTAATTCAACTGGCTCAGACAGGATCAGAGGAGGTCTCCTTTAAACACTGTAATAAACATTTGTGTTCCGTAAAAGGTGAGAATTACTTCACTAGCTGAGCGCTTGTCAGCTTCTCGAGGACTTCGCTTAATATTCAGTTATGCAGCACAAATTTTTAGAACCTTTCATTAAATGTGGCAAGTGATGCTCTCACCACAGAAGTTTACATGGCAGCTGCGATTATGGCAGAAAATTAAGAAGTAAAAATGTGGTGTGTCTTCAATCTGCATGATGTTCATAACAGATTTCATGTACAGCCGTCAATTGGTTAAAAAGTAGCTAGCAGGTGCAGATATATACTGATGTGATGTCGTAAATCTGGCGTCATAAGATAAACTACAACGTGGGCTCGAACAGATTAACCACACAGATTGGATGTAATTTCTGAAATACAGTGTTTACCAATAGTGAGCATGTTGTAAATACATAACGCGCCTCGTAAATCACGAAATTCAGTTGTAAAACTGTCGTCATTAGACATTCTCAGTACAATTTACAACACTACACAATCATTACAGGCCTGGAAACACGTTTTCCGATTCCCGCCTCGAGGCAGAAAGCTGAATAATTCTCTTACTTTACTTTGTTCATGCACTTCAACTAATGAAGTGAGTCGGTAGCAATAAGATTCCTACACACTAAGAGGTCGGAAAAGGGCAAAATTGTTAGTATAAAATGGCTGTCTTCTGGGTTGTTGCGCCGTGTAGTCTGGTAGAAGTTTACCGACGTTTCAGAGCGCTCTGATGATGGAGACAGCAAGGACCTCTGAAACATCGGTAAACATCTACCAGACTAAACAGCGCAACAACCAAGAAGACAGCCATATTGAAACTCACCGCCGTGAGGACCTCAAATCCTTCTAAATTGCTAGTAGCTTGTAGTAGGTCCTCTGTCCAAAGTCTGAGCAAAAAAGATCAGGGCTTATAATCAGGGACGTATTCGGTTTGAGTCTCGGCTGATTACTAGCTATCGCAATGATTTTCCTTTTCAGTTTCTTCAAGCGAATGACGAGTGACTTCAATTAGGTCATGATCGAGTCTTTTCAAATTATTTTCTATTCAACTTTTTAGATCAACCCCAGTCTCGTATACAGTTATGTAAGATACACAACTGAAACAGTGCAGATAAAAGGTCGTATGTATACTATACAAAGACGACGCAGAAGATTCTGATGTAACAACATTAAAATAAAATTTTGAAGCTGAATTTCCGCATATCTTAATCTCACTACTTTGATGGGAAGCTTCTATACCGTTAACGTTTCTGGAAAAACGTTCACGAGTAAGAGAATCTTACAGTAAAAACCTTACACATAATTTACATCGAGTTCACATAAGGAAGGGAATCAACTTCACTTTACTCTAATAGCGTAAATGGTTTCAATTGCATTTAATACAAAACATGACATAAACAGAGGATGTGATAAGATAAATCGCTCTAATTTCCTCTCATATCATTGGGAGTAGCATTATTAATTAAACAAAACCAGTTCGGCCAACTCTTAGACACTTCAAGCTAACCATCTGCAGCATCAACAAAATTACGTTTACATAAATGACCAGGAAAACGTAAATAGAAGAAGTTTCTCTGCTGAAAATCTTGAACGTCAAATGGTTGACCTGTTCAAGTCTGCAAAAACACTTTCAGACACTAAGGCTATAAATGAGAGTAAATGTATAATTTATCCTTACTCACCAGTTCTCGTAGAAGCTATGAAAATCTTCACTAGTCTCGGCGTCGGCAATTTCCGTGACGTTAGATGCCCCTGCAGAACTTCTTGGACTATTTCTTCTGTGTTCATTTTTGTGAAACAATGTAGGCCGGCGTATAAGTATAGTTAAATTAGCAGCAAAGTTTCGTACGCGTTTTGGCGGTAGGATTCACAATTGTCTGGTCATCACTGGGGACTGATCTCTCCACATGCGGTGCACCTGTAACATGCAATTTGCACACATTTGTCATTTCCCTTCAATTTTTAACTGTCTTGAATCAGAACAATCCCATTAAAAAGACGACTGGATTAAAGAGTACTTCGATCCAACACTCAGATGCGTTCTTTGCAATTTGTCTTGTCTCCATATACAAATCTATGACACAAACCTTGATATTGATTTGTAACGTAGAACATTGAGGTTCCAAGTTCAAGTGCATCGAAATATGCAGAATACGCTGTCAGAAGCATTTCACTCGTAATGAGATTTCAGGGGAGCTGTTTAGAACACAGAACACAATTCTCATGCAGGAATACGGAAAAGCGAAACTGCAGTCGCACTGTTATTTAATCACATCTTAAGATTAACTTGCCTCTGATTTACTGTGAGATATTTTAAACCTTATCAACATTGCATTCATCCCCATTATATGAAAATTCTTTTAATAAACCGTAAGAATATAAAATAAAAATGACAACAGAAAGACAACTGCCTATTCTACTCATAATAAAACCTCTCAGAGCGAAAATGTCATAATGTCAACACCTTAAAATAAGATACTAGATTTATAACGTTCTTAGTCTTTATTCATTTCGTACAGATCTAATTTATATAGTTCTGAATTTATATTGTTTTTTCGTGAAGCTTTAGCTTCATATTTTCCGTTCAATCACAATATACTTAAACTGTTGTTACTGTCATTATGCCATAATTGTTCAATTTCCATTCCCTTTCTACGGAACTTACCAATCCATA